TTTATTATCATCTCATTTAAAGACATTTGGACTTTATTATCATTTACAATGTTTTGTTTTTTACACTTATAAGATCCTACTGATCTCAAATAGCTAGGAGGAATTAAAAATGCAAACCACACAAAAGCTCGGATCTCAGTAGGATATAGCTGAGCTTCTGTATACCTACAGTACAGGCCAAAAGTTTGGACACACCTTCTCATTCAATGCGTTTTCTTTATTTTCATGACTATTTACATTGTAGATTCTCACTGAAGGCATCAAAACTATGAATGAACACATGTGGAGTTATGTACTTAACAAAAAAAGGTGAAATAACTGAAAACATGTTTTATATTCTAGTTTCTTCAAAATAGCCACCCTTTGCTCTGATTACTGCTTTGCACACTCTTGGCATTCTCTCCATGAGCTTCAAGAGGTAGTCACCTGAAATGGTTTCCACTTCACAGGTGTGCCTTATCAGGGTTAATTAGTGGAATTTCTTGCTTTATCAATGGGGTTGGGACCATCAGTTGTGTTGTGCAGAAGTCAGGTTAATACACAGCCGACAGCCCTATTGGACAACTGTTAAAATTCATATTATGGCAAGAACCAATCAGCTAACTAAAGAAAAACGAGTGGCCATCATTACTTTAAGAAATGAAGGTCAGTCAGTCCGGAAAATTGCAAAAACTTTAAATGTGTCCCCAAGTGGAGTCGCAAAAACCATCAAGCGCTACAACGAAACTGGCACACATGAGGACCGACCCAGGAAAGGAAGACCAAGAGTCACCTCTGCTTCTGAGGATAAGTTCATCCGAGTCACCAGCCTCAGAAATCGCAAGTTAACAGCAGCTCAGATCAGAGACCAGATGAATGCCACACAGAGTTCTAGCAGCAGACCCATCTCTAGAACAACTGTTAAGAGGAGACTGCGCCAATCAGGCCTTCATGGTCAAATAGCTGCTAGGAAACCACTGCTAAGGAGAGGCAACAAGCAGAAGAGATTTGTTTGGGCCAAGAAACACAAGGAATGGACATTAGACCAGTGGAAATCTGTGCTTTGGTCTGATGAGTCCAAATTTGAGATCTTTGGTTCCAACCGCCGTGTCTTTGTGAGACGCAGAAAAGGTGAACGGATGGATTCCACATGCCTGGTTCCCACTGTGAAGCATGGAGGAGGAGGTGTGATGGTGTGGGGGTGTTTTGCTGGTGACACTGTTGGGGATTTATTCAAAATTGAAGGCACACTGAACCAGCATGGCTACCACAGCATCCTGCAGCGACATGCCATCCCATCCGGTTTGCGTTTAGTTGGACGATCATTTATTTTTCAACAGGACAATGACCCCAAACACACCTCCAGGCTGTGTAAGGGCTATTTGACCAAGAAGGAGAGTGATGGAGTGCTGCGGCAGATGACCTGGCCTCCACAGTCACCGGACCTGAACCCAATCGAGATGGTTTGGGGTGAGCTGGACCGCAGAGTGAAGGCAAAGGGGCCAACAAGTGCTAAACACCTCTGGGAACTCCTTCAAGACTGTTGGAAAACCATTTCAGGTGACTACCTCTTGAAGCTCATGGAGAGAATGCCAAGAGTGTGCAAAGCAGTAATCAGAGCAAAGGGTGGCTATTTTGAAGAAACTAGAATATAAAACATGTTTTCAGTTATTTCACCTTTTTTTGTTAAGTACATAACTCCACATGTGTTCATTCATAGTTTTGATGCCTTCAGTGAGAATCTACAATGTAAATAGTCATGAAAATAAAGAAAACGCATTGAATGAGAAGGTGTGTCCAAACTTTTGGCCTGTACTGTATGCTCCAAGTTGTGACCTGAGATCCTCAAGCCTACCCTCACTAGCTGCCCTAGATCGAGGATGGTAACTAAAGGTAACCGGGCTTTTGCCATCTAGGCCCTGAAACTCTGGAATTCTCTGCCTGAGGAGATTAGGCTGGCTGGCAAATTACCTCTTATCAAATCATTGCTGATTTACCAGATATATTTCTGTAGGAAAGCTTTCCCTTTAAATGCCTGATTTGTATTTTATTTATTTACTTTTGTTCTCTTTTTGTCTGTGTACACATTACTGTTCTTAGCTCTTAGCATTTTTTTTAAATATGGTATTGTTATTGTTGTCTTATTTCCGTGCACTTTGTGAAGCACTTTGTAACCTTGTTCAGATAAGTGCTATACAAATAAAGATATATTATTATTATCTGTCTTTATGTGTCAGCCCTGTGATAGTCTGGCAACCTGTCCAAGGTGTACTCCGCCTCTTGGCCAATGTCAGCTTGGATGGACTCCAGCCCCCCCACGACTCTACAGAAAAAGAATGGATGGGTGGATATGTATATAGTTGTAATGTTTGTCTTACCTCTGCCCAGCTTTGTTATCCTTGTTTTTAACTGTATGTTTTTTTCTGTGTTGGTACACTGAAAGCAACAAAGAACCGGAGTCAAACGCCTTGTATGTGTACACAAACTCGGCCAGTGGAGGGAATTCTAAATCTGTCAGATACTGAGAGTTTATAAGTTTACTTGTTCTCTAATTAATTTATTTGACTTTGTTTAATCAGATACAGTAGTTCCTGATTTGTGCCAAAGTTTTAGCCGATTTTGGACCATGTTTTTAGGCCAAAGTTCTCTCATGGTTGCTTGTTTTTAGACAGTCTTCATTTAAGAGGTTTGGATTTTTTTATTCAATGAAAACTAGTATTAAAACCAGCTCACACAAACAGCCCTACTGTATTGGAACTACAACAGAAGCATTAGCCTCCCGGGTGACATCTGAGTTTCCCCTTCTACTATGACAACTCTTCTTGTATGGTTCATATTTCCAGTCAGGTTCCAGGAATGTGCAGAGTAAAGCAGGAAGTTGGAGGAGAGCAGCCAAAACAGCAGCCAGAGTCACAAGGTGCATTGTTTATATCAGTGGTTCTCAAATGGTGTGTCGTGATGTAAATCCATGTGTGCTGTGGGTTGTGGTAGTCACACATTATCATAACAAAATTCAACTGGGCATATACAAAATATTATGAATGGATTTTTAATTGACTGTGTCAGTATGTTGTGAACACCCATTTCCTAAAAAAGAGGCAAACTCTACCTCGAAAATGTAATAAAATGTAATTCAGTACATGATGTGATAAGAGTGATAACACACGTTTAGACTGTACTTGTTTGGCTTTTTAATATCATACATGTGTGTGTGTTAGAGGAGAAAGCAGGTTGCACAACTAGACTATGTTCCACCGAGGGAATTCACTCCATTGAGACAGTTTGTTTGTGTGTGTAAACACATGGATGAACACCATCTGTGTTTCTGTGCCAGTGGCAGTGTGATCTGGGGGACCATTTGTTTAGCAGAGTTGTCTGTTGAGTTGATATCATTGCACCAGGGTGATGACTGAGACGGTCAGTGTGACACGCTTGTGTAATTTTTCCATTACGTGTGTATATCTAAAATTGTGTCCGTACCCACAAAGTAAGATATCTTTGTTCTCATTATGTGGTCTCATATTCCTAAAACTTCAAATGTGTCTTATATTGACATTAATTTAAGGGACTTTGAGTAACGATTATTAGTAGTGATCCCTCAGACAGAAAAGAGTTGTAACTGTGCAGTTATAGTGACAATAACGGTGACACCTGCCCAAGGTGTCGAATTCAACCAAGAGAAAAACAGCAAATCCTCATATTCTTGGTATTTTTCTTTGCTTAAAACTGACTTACACATTAAATCCATTATCAAAATTGTTAATTAACCTACTGCTGACTTATTCTGATGAAGAGCTTCTAAATAATCCTCCCCCACACAGTTCAAAGGCTCCTCAAAACATTTGCAGCTCATTATTTGTTCTACAAAACCCCGCTGGTCCTCATCAACTCTGGTTTTGTCAACTTATCATTTCAATCTGACCTTGAATCCAACAAAATCCCGTGGATTTGGAAAATGCTATCCTGCTTATTCCACTTTTTGTATGTGTATTGGCCCTGGTGTTGGAATCTGGAATCCCACAAACATTCTTGTACCCTAACGTAATTTCTTTTCATTAATTCACCAAACAGACTTGAGGAATCAAAAGCACAGTAAAGGAAGTGACGAATGTCTTGAAAATACTAACCCAGCAGCAGACAGATCTCTACCGAAGCCTTCTGATACTGTGGTTCGTATGACACTAAAGCAAACATTGATTAGCAGAGGACGAAACTGCAGCACTGTGTGTTTTGTCAACTCTTATAAACCCTTACTGAATCAGGCACTTTCAGTCTGTTGGTTTGACTTCAACTGTTTACTCTGTAACGCAGAGCCGGGCAGAGTCTAAGATACCGCACAGTGGGAGTCAAAAGGGCAAATTTGGCTTTATCTGTCGGCAAATATTGCAGTCACATACAGGTGCTGTCTGTGTTTAAATTCACTAGAACACCCACATTTCTTTGTGTTGTATGTTGAGACAATGCAGACTCCTCTTGAGTGTTTGTAAGAGTTGTTTTTTATGGGTCTCAACATTTTTGACACTACCAAAAATCATCTTTACTGTCAGTGTTTGATTATGATGATACTTAACATGCTTGCTGCCAAGTGTATCTGTGTCTTGTCATATTTCACAAAGCACAAAGTTTATTAATAACCATAAACTCCTCCTCGCTGCCCTCAAACTGGAACTTACACAAGCACTTTGGTGTACTTTCCTTTCCAATAAGTCTAGAAGCTTAAAAAAGTTTGCCAAGTCTAGTAAGCTAATAACCGAAAACTCTTCCGACAGACTTTTAAAGAGGCTGTCGCTGTTTATTTTCAGCACGTGCCATCTCCAGAAAGATTTGGTTTCTGATATTCAAAGCATGCCCCGCAATTAGTTGCCTGTGTTCTGATCCCTCACACATGACTGAGGCTGACTTTATTTCGAAAACATGCCTGGTGCGGCTGTCTTGGTCTCGTCTCTCGAGCTGAATATAGCTGGGATAAAGATGCAGAGATTTTCTTTTCCCAGTAAATCAATTACAAATTCTTTGTTTACAGAAACAGACGGGTTTTAATTAAATATTCAAAAAAAAAAAAAAAAGCAAACCATTTTAATTTGTTCTCATTGTTTTAGTTTCTATTGCATTTGAATGACCATATTTTCCACAGCATAAAGGCATTAATCTACATTTTTAGTTATAGTTTTTCTATCATTCACACAAACAATAAAGTGCTTATTTAAAAATAACCTTCTCTTTAAACCAGTCTAAAATACACTGAGACCTGCCACCCTCTTAGAGACAGCAGAAATTGTCACATACATGTGCAAGTACACATTTACACACAAACAGTCAATCCCACACACAAGCAGGCAGTGTGACCCTGCAGCGTATCTTAACTCTGTGCTTTATACTGTAAATGGTCTTTTGTTAGGGCACAAGTTTTGTCTGACAGTGTCCGCACTGCTGTTACATATTGTTTCTATCTTGTTAACAGGTAAGAGTCAAGCTGGGTGTGCATACAAGTTAATGTACACACACCCCCACACCCACACACACACACACACACAGAAAGAGAAAGAGCACACTGATCAAACATCAAACCCTGTTTAGAGCCATTGGAAAGCTTGCCTCCTGTCTCAGGGGGAGACACTACAGGTGAGTGGGTAACTAATAAATATCACTATGAAACGTCCCCGGTTGATTACTTACACTAAGACAATTATTTTTTTGTATTCCAAGTTTTTGGAAATCTTTATGTTTAAATATACAAATGATTCTTTATCTTATTAAACATGCACTAATTTGCATACATTTAAAAAACAAAAATCTGAGCATTGATTAAAGCCAGGCTCAAAATTCTTATTTTATTGACACATCAGAGTCAAAGGTTTTTAAAGAGGGGGTTTTGGGATCACTCATCAATTTTCAACATTTTCTTAGGATTAAAATGCTCTATAAATCCGGCTGTGAGTGATAGGTGAACAACCTCCTCTGTAAAAACCTTCTGAATATAGAGAGGAATAAAACTGAAACGTTTGCTGTATGTAAGTGATACTGAAGCTGAGATTTCTGGCGCAGAGTGTGAGAAAATGGCCTTTAAACATATGTATTGTCAAATTCCACACATTTTTAGACAAAAGAATAAGACAGATGAGTAGGGTAAAAAATTTAACTGATAGATATCATGCTAAATCTTCACGATATCTTGATTACTTTACTATTAAGACGATTATTTTTTTGTATTACAATTTTTTTTTAATTTTATGTTTAACCCTTAGAAACCTGGAGCGACATCACTGTTCTTGCGCTGCTTTAATACACCTTTGCCAAGTATTTAAACCTTTGAACCCTGAGCGAATTGGTGCGATTTCTTTTACAAACATAGGAAAAAATGCAATGAGCAACTTGGTGAGAAATGTGTCACAAATTGCAAAAAAGTAATAGATAAAAAAATATATAAAATATATATTAAAAAAAAATAGGGAAAATCTATATTTATAATTGTGACTATTAGTTTAAAATGATGCTTCAGAATTTTTAAAATAATTTTTAAGCACTTTTTCAAGCTTTTTAATTTGTTTCCCCCCCCCCTTCATTTTTTGTGACAATTTTTTTCACATTTTTTTTACTTTACAAATTTTCTTGTTTTTTTGTTTATCTACTAATTTCTTGCAAAAGTGTAGTCATTTCTTCTGTTTTTGCTGATTGCCTTCCTACCATTTTTTTTAGAAGACATTAAGCCAATTTGCTCAGGTTTCAAAGGGTTAAATATGCAAATTAGGTATTATCTAATTAAGTATGATTTTTGCATATATTTCCAGAGAAAATAAACACCTAAATGTGTTTTTGGACATTTTCTTTCCACTCATCTGAATGTCTCTTATGGATGCAAAATAGCCCAAAATCTCAAAATTGACCAGACTACATTTTCACCTGGGGTGTCTCCCCTCAAGTGTGAGCCACGTCCTATACAGGGCACTGCACATCCGTTATGTAGTAAACCTCTGAGTACTCTACATGCAGTCTTGAAAATCTGCTTCACACATTCCAACTGCAAAAACAATACTAAAAAGAAAGACCCATGCTGGATTACTATTGAGCGATTTTGTGGCTGTTGCAGACAGTTGTCTGTTTTTGTAATGAAGTCCAGAAACACTTCTTGATCTTCACTTAGTGTGCTATGTAGGGTAAAACTACAGTGTTGAGTTGTCCTCATGCAAGTTTTAAGTGCGTCCCTGTAATGTTTAAGGTTAGTGCTTGAGCCTGGACTGACTGAATAAATGCCAAAGGGCAACTTTCCATTCTTTTCCGTGCCTCTATTTTTACACTGACCACACATACACATTTGCCCACGTCATGAGACAAGGGGATCACATAACACACAATGAGAGATATGGAATTTCAGGGACAACGCTGCTGATTTCTTCTCCTTGCTCCCCTTTTCCCACTGATTCATCATTGATGCTCCTTGTGTTTGAATTAAAAATGACACCAGATCAGAGTAAAACAATAATTTCTTAACACATCACAACATCACTGCTAACCAAACAGGCAAAACTGCAACAAAATAAAATTAAGGAGATTTGTTTTTTTTTCTTAGTTTCTTGTCTTCATACTTGATTCAGCAAGATATTGAAGTTCTTTTCTTCTCCTTTTGCCATGACTTCTGCGCAACTCTGATCTCACCTTGGCCACACAATCAAGTCTGTTGTGCTCTGTATCTGCCACGTCTTTGATCAGCAGCCTCGTCACGTGGCAGCGAAACATTACATCACAGTCCTTGATGTGAATGTGACAGCTGACACTGTAAGAGTGGCACGGAGCTGCGTTGGTGACTGACAGTTTTAACGATGTCTCCCTTTTTCCATCGTGACGTCCATTAGTAGTCCAGGAAGGCACATAATGCTTTCAGAGTGCTCTCCAGTAATTGGATAAGATTTATGTCCTGCTGTTTTGGGTGACAGGCACTTGAACACCTTTCTGTCCTGTTGCTGCACAAACAATAGAGAAAGAGCATGTTAGTCACATACGATATTAATTTGCACTAAAGAGGTGATACATTAACACTATGACTGTTAAGAAACTTACCCAATCTGTATTTCTCTTTAGCTTCAGCTCTCTCTTTGGCATCAAAGTACCAGACTGTGATGGCATAGCTGTAAAACACAAGGAAGAGGAGATGTTAAAACACTTGGTCAAAAGCTAATCTCTTTAGTCAGTACAATAAATAACTGGTAGACAAAACTGAGCTGTGTCACAAATGATCCCCTCCACTTACAGGTGTGTTTTTCTTCTGTTTAAATCCCCTAAAATGTCTGACCTTGACTACATTGACTTGTATCTGCGCACAGTTTGTCACTAGAGAGGTGTTTTCACATTCTTCTACTGAAGGCGGCCATGTCTGTGCACTTGCCCTTAAATCTGAGATTCAGGCAAGCTCGATTAGGTACATCATAAATTCGAAAGCCAATCGATGTCTAATATGGGAAACATATATCCCCGGAGGATCAGCTGTCAACTCAACACCGGCAAAGAAACCTGAAACCTCAGAGAGCTGAGCGAACTTGTTGGTACAGGCAGCAGAGTTCGTATTGGCATAGTTAAAGTTTTGACAACAAACATGATAGAGTGTGCAGTTTTTGGATGTCAACTGGACCTTGGAGTTTCCCTCCTCTACCAAAAACCCCATCACAGCAGTGTTTCACAACCATTAAAGCTGCGTCAGCGACTGCCAGTTAGCCTACAGGCTAACAAACATCATAAGCTGAATCTTTACGATGTTACCTCTAACACTAATTCAATGATTAGCCTAGCGCAAGTAGCAGTGGTGGGCGGTACAGAGGCCAGATCCCCGATTTCTCAATAATGGAGAAAGAGTAGACCTTCTCGCCTCTTTGTGGCTTTTTTATCTGGGACACCCTGCTAAACAAAAATATTTTACATACTTTAAAACGTGCCTAGAGAGGGGCTTCGAATTTAAGCAAAATTGCCAATAAAAAGACCGTGAAATGGCTGTGACATAAGATAGAAAGTAAAACTGTCTGAGATATATGACCAATTTGCCCCAATTTGCCCTTGAAAAATCAGAAGGGCAAAAATTAGCCTTCGAAAGGTCTTTTCTGACCCAGCTAGAGACGACAAGTTACAAAATAAAAAGTCTTGTATGACAGTGGACGGCAGACTGCAGCAGATCTCCAGGGCAGTGGAGGGTTAACTCCTCCAGTTTCTAGTCTCTCCAGTGGGGCTGTGTTGTTTATTCCTGTCTCTCATGTCTGTGCCGCTCCAGCACGAGTCCTGCAATCGAACCTTCCTCCCCTCTCCCTCCCGCCGACCCCCTCAGGAAACACATACTTCCTGCCTCCGGCTCCACCTCGCCCCCCAGCAGTCAGATGGAGAGGAGCGGAGGAAAGGCAGGAGTGAAAGAGAACGTGTCACATGCCCTTGATGGATCATTTGGAGCTACGATGTAAATAACTGTAGGTGCGCAGGGGTTTACACAAGTGTCTAATGGTGTCAGGTCAATATCATTGAATTTCAGTCACCTTTTAAGTGATTAAATCAATTAGGAAACAAGCATCCCTGACAAAATTCTGAAGGAGAGACAAGAGCAGGAAAAAGGAAATAGAGGAGGCAGGACGCTAAAACAGCAATACATCTCTCTGTGTGTGCATGTGTGTGTGTATTTTTGTGCCCTTAACCTGCTTGACTTATAACAAATGTATTATAAATATTACGTTTTCAATGGAAACTGTGTTAAATGATTCAACAATTCATTTTCAGTTTATTTTCATTATATGGTAACTAAGAAGTATAGGTATTTACATTACTGAGCGCACTAAAATATACTAGATATACACAGCTGAAAGTATTGGCAGTGTGCCCTGTCTCTTCCCACACATAATCAAGAGTGTGTGTGTGCATGTGAGACCCGAGTTACTGACCGAGTGGCGAAGGCCGGCTTGACTTCGTGTGGGTTCCTGCGGTCAGACCAGAAGATGAGCAGCCGGTCAAACAGAGGTTCGATGTTGGCCACCACATTTTTGCCTTCAGGGTAGATCTGCAGCATCCCTCCTTGTTTCTACAAGCGCACATACAGAGAGAGCACACAGTCACACAAGTTAGAGATATTTCAGCTTGAGTCTGCATGTGGTGCGTTTTTTGACTTCACTGGAAATACATGATTTTTGTGAGGAAGTGGGGTTTGTTTTAATCATTTTATAAGCCAAACTAGTCATGATCTTGTGACTGTACCTTGACATCCCAGTTCTTGTTGAGATAGTAGATACACGTGATGCAACGTCCGTCACCGTTAGGGTTGTCAACATGACGGACGTACCCCGCCCCGTTCCCCGGGTAACAAGCAACCATTGCCTAAACAGAGGGAACAGGATCATTAGTTGTGCATTTAGACCACAAGCAAGCACCTGATGCACCATCATAAAAAAAGGTTTTGAACACACATCCTGGTTGATGACTTAAAGGGATACTTTGCCATTTTTCCACCCGCTTTGTAGGTAGTGTGTAAATGACCTGTGGTAAACTTCCCTCTATTTTACCAGCGTCCAGATCTCCCTGCTCATCTACCAGCTCCAATTTGTGCTGGCTCTAGGGATGTTGCTCAAACTAAAGATTGTACTTCCGCATTTTCATATGCCCGCCACCACGGACACAAAGAGTATAAAGGCAGAAAGAGAGACCTGCCCCTCTGGTTCTTTCAAACTCAGATCAAACAGTAAAACTAGGTAGCACTGATCAGCAGTGTAGGTTTTCTACCTCTTCCTACCCTTTCTCTGTTTTCTAAGGTTATGTAGCACTCATTCCAAAAGTATTTGTGTCTATCTACTGCTTAGTTTTATGGAAAGAGCAGTAAAATACTTCTTTGAGGTTTATTTTCTCCAAATTTCCCGGGTAGACTGCATTCTTAATACAATATCCCATGATGTAATTTGTGAAGCACAGTCACAAGAGTCCAGCTGTACGAAATGATCTGCAGATAGAGTATCCACGTTCAAACAATGGTCTCGCGCTGGTATTTCCCCTCCTTGATATCCATGTGTCGGAGGCTATGAAGCTGGAGAGCGCTGCTTTCCCCGGGGGAACCTGAGGAAACCGAGATCTACGTGAGACTTATTCGGTCAGTGTTACAGGACCATAGGACTGTGAATGTACTGCACCAGGGTGAAACTGAGCAGAGCTTGTGTCACTATGACATATTATCGGCTCATGTTTCAGCTGTGTAAATACTTCCCAAACTGTCTCTGGTGGCTGTAGCAAACGTTCAGTCTTTCCCTGCTCAGCTGAGACGGAGAAGGAGACAGTGTACAAGTGAATCACTGACTGACATGCCAGCAGAAGGAGATTCTAGGTGATGATCGTTGGCAGCATGTAGAGTAATAACTTCTGCTTTATCTCTCCAGGCTGACTATAAAAAAGATACTGTCACTGTCCTGACTTATATTGTTCTGCATGGGAAGCAGACGTTACAATATCAGGAGTCACTGCATCACTTCAGCTCCGTTCTGGGACACTATCATTCATGACTAACAGGTTGTGCACTGCTGCAGTATCGATCTGACTCGCCTCACGCTATCGTTTAAGCCCTCGCACTACAATGTGAGAGTCCTAACCCCGAGGAGATCAAACAATGCTCGTATAGATTTCTAAGACAAACACACCTGTTGTTGTGTTGTGTGTTAAACGTAAACAAAAGTGACATTTTGTGTAGGAGGGCTTCGGTCAGAGAGCGCACAGTCCTCCCTCCCCCTCTTCCTCTTGTGATGTTTCCCCACTCAGTGACAGCCAAGTGAGTTTGGTTGTGATGTGTGTGACTCTGTTCAGCGGCCATTGTCAGCTCTCATTACTGACCGACGCTCGCAGTCAGAGCTCATTAAACTCTGGACCCCTTGCTCCGGGGCTCCAACTGACGAGCAGACCTGCTGCGACAAAATTAACATCAAATGCACCCAAGAAAATATGTGTGCAGACATAAAGACCATCAGAAACATTACAGTAATCTGAATGCGATTTAGATTCGTTCAAACTTGTCAGCTGATCACAGTATGAGTGAATCATTTTGTCAGTGGTAGGGTTATTAAGACTGCAGGGAAAAAAACTGTGACGTTTCTTTTACTTTTCTAGACTTCTGTTATTTGATCTCTTCATTTCTGTGTTTTCTTATTAAAGCAGCCCTTCAGTTAAAGGTACACTCTGGAGTTTCTGACCACTAGTAGCACTACGGAGCATGAGTTCAAGGATGGATTTTCGCTCTACACATATGAGGATGAGAGTGATTATTCTGGGTGTGCATGTATTTAAGGAAGAATGTTTTCCTAGCAAATAGCTTTTATCAAACTGCTAACAGTCTTAACAACTGTAATTAACAGCGATTAACATGTAATATGCCACACCAGACAGCTCAGCCCTAGCCTGCAGCATAAACGCAACACACACACACACACACATACAAACATACATGATGTCTCCTTCAACTCTTGCACAAGACAGGCTTATAATTTAAGAGGAGGGTTATGGCATTCATTCTAAACTAACCCCAGGCACTAAAACACATCACTAATATTCAAACCAGTTCCACATACATCCACATGGTTTCAATCCCCTACTGTTAGTGACTCACACACACATGCACACACAACATGTTCAGTTACACAGCGTGACACAGCATGTCTCGATCCTATCGATGTCGTTCCTGCCCTCCTTGCGCCTTCATCTCAGCCGACATCTGTGCCCACAGTGAGTTAAAGTCTAATTGGCACCAACCACCTGTCTGCCAGGCGCAACCATTAATGGCCTAATGGCATCGCTGGGCAGATACCCGGGCTGTCAAGGTGACAGCCGAGCATAGAGAACAGGCTGTCGTGAACGAGAACAAAAATAAGCTCCAATGCTGCGCACATATTCTGATAAGAGGAGCGATGGTAGAGAGAGGGGTGAGGGGCTAGATAAGCGTGAACAAACACAGCGAGCACTGTTTGTCAAGGAGAAAGACTAAGGGGAAGAATATACTGTATGCATGTCTGTGACAGGGATAATAGGGGTTAACATGATGATTGTGGAAACACTCAAGAATTTACTCAAGGTCTGGTTTTGTTGGTCATTTTTTTCTCTCAAAACCATTTCCAGTACCTCAGTTATATATCTGGATCTGGATATCTATGGTCCAATATCTATATCGATATACAATATATTAAATCCAACATGTCATCCCTACTGACATTTTGCTGCTGGGGCTGATGCCGTTCCGTCACTAAAATAATGCAGGGGGAAGCCTTTCTCATTGTATCTTCACAGAAGGTGTCAGCAGTTAGGTTTAGGCAACAAAACTATTTGGTTGTGGTTAGGAAAAGATCGCGAATGATGCTACAAAAACATCTAGCTTTGAATGCCACAAATGCTACAACTTATGTTTTTGTTTGCTGTTCTCAAACGCTGCTCTCCTGGGTCAAAGTCTGGTGTTTGTGTGCTTGTGTTGAACCCATGGGGTCAGGCCATGGACTCCTGGGCTGACCAAGATTTTGTTGGCCACCTGCCATGACTTAATCAATGTAACTGACAGCAGAAACAACCAATTTTGTAATGACAACGACGAATCACATCCGCTACTTCCGCATGTTTGTTTGCATGTGTGAAATGATCACTTCTTCAAGCAAACGCTGCTACATTGAAAACTTGGCTCAAAAAGTCTGAAAGGATCCCCAAAGTCCTCTCAGTTTCACAGTGGGACAACCCTGAGCTCCTGTGGGTTATCGGAAAACATGCATCACAGTATGCGAGTCCTTGTTGGGAGAGGGCCAGGGTCTTGTTCAGCACGACAGATGTTTGCCATCTCCAGTGTTGAAACCACTTGATTCACTATCCTTCAGGTCCCATCGCCATCTTGCTTAATTTCCACAGGTGATTACTCACAAGCAACCTGGGTGACACAGTGCATGATATAAATCAGGATCAGCCATTATTAATAGTTGCTACCAGATTGGATTTGAGAGAAGTGAATGAGATACAAGTGGGTGAATTAAGTTTAATTATGAACTGCTTTGTCACTCCCAGGTTATATCTGTCCTGGCACACATCATGCCTCGTTATTCAGTAAATTTCACCGCTATGTTACTGCTTCTGGCTGGATAATGGCTTCTGAGGACATGATAACCTCTGGTCCAAGTGAGTGCCATCTGCTAACGTACCCAGCTTCCTAACATACTTATGGATTTACTGCTACATAAACAACAACACCAGACTGGTTTCATCTTCCAAGAGAAGCTGATCTGTGTGTGTGTGTGTGTGTGAAGGTAGACACACTTTTGTTTTTCTTACTAAAGACCGTTTCAAACTTGACCACATAAACATCCTTAATGGGCCCCTTTGTATTTCCTGTTGAATGTTTAGCAGTGTATGTCAATGACATCAGCTGACAGGAAGTAAACACGGACTCAAGCTGTTACCCAGCAATGCAATTCCAGTGAAATGGTCCATAAGAGGGTTTCATCACTATGGTTACAAATTATCGGCCATATTCACACACAGCACCAACCACAATGATATCTGTAATGTCCCATGAATGTGCAAAGGCTGGTCGCACATTGCTTGCACTGATACAAGAGAAAACAGGCTGAACTTCATGCAAGTTACTGCACTTCTGGAATGTTTTTGGCAGTCACCATATTTGGAGAAGGAGCATCTCTCTGTATCTTAAATTAGGGACAGATGGTGGAATTGAAACACAAACAAATATTCAGCTGTCATGTAGTTTGGATATTATGCGAACATAAAACCAAAAAAAGTTATGAATCCATGCTTAGCCCTTATGAGTCAGTCCTGCTTTGGCCCCAATGGCGCTCGTTATGCATGAGTCATCTCTAAACGTTATGATGTAGAAATACAGTGTGTGTAAGTGAGTGTGCAGAGTTGGGTGGGACCAAAGATTATAATGAACTGTTTATCTAATTTACTGGACAATTATTTTCATATTTGAATAAATATTAGGTCTGTAAATGTCAGAAACTTAGAATTTAAATGGATACTACATTAAATTAAGGTGATGTCTTCAAATGCTTGTTATATCTGATGAGCAGTCCAAAACCCAAAGATAGTAAACTTAAGATGAGATTAAAAAAAAGGCAATTAGCAGATGGTGTCAGAGAATGTTTGGCACTTTTCTTGAACAATGACTAAAACAATGAACTGATTACTTAAATAGTCGCTGATTAATTTTCTGCCAACTGACTGATTAATTGACTAATTGTTATCACATTTAGATATGAAAAAAATCACAAAAACCAAGCAGCCTTTACTTAAAAACACCACCTGGACTACTTAAAGAAGTATTTCTCTGCTGGAACGATGGTCTATTCATACAACTAGGCTGTCTGTGCAGTAGGAAGACACACATACTTTTGAAATTGGTGCTACAGGACCAGAGAAAACACAGAAAAAGTGTTATGACATGTGCTTTTGCACAGTAGGTATAAAACCTACAACTACCAGAACGTACTGCACCACACCGGACCAATAAACACCCCTGCTGGTGGAAGACATAATTTGAGCTTGTCTGTTTGTCCCCAGGGAACAAAATGGCAGCTGGCTGGTGACGAACAATCTCAAATTACAGTTAAACAGTACACTAAAATATGTTTCTGAGGACACTTTAAGCAAGAAAAAGGCAACGCAGTAACAGAATCTTGGTTCAGTATTGCTTAGTTTTACAGTTTGAGTCAGTATTTCCAGCCTCCATTTTAATAACAGCATGACGGCCACTTACTGTTCACAAATTCTTGTATTACAGCCAAACAGGGCACTAAAATATGTTTCTGAAGACATTTAAGGGGAAAAATAGGCGATACAGTAACAGATTCTTTTTTATATTTGATCAGGACTGCCTAGTTTTTCAGTTTGGTCTGAGTTTGAGAGACAAAGTGAAAGGGAAAGGTCTGTCTCTCTCTATCTGCTTCTTTATTCTTAGCGTCAGTGGTGGCAGGTATACGAAAATGCTGAAGTACAATCTGTAGCTCAGGCAACAACCCAAGGCCCAGCAGACATTTCACAACTGAAATTGGAGCTGAGAGATGAGCAGGGAGATGTGGATGCAGGTAAGATGGAGGGACGTTTAACAGTTTATTTACACATACTACCCACGTTATTACGATACAGAGCTGGTTGAAGATCGGCAAAGTGTCCCGTTAATTTACCAGATATTTAACTGTAATGTTGACTGACACAAATGGCAAATGATTTTGGTTGATGCTGCAATGAGGGAAACCCAAATAAACACAAATCATGTCATTAACGCCACCTTGAGGGCAAATATTATCTGCTAAGGATTAGCAGAATTGCTTTGTCTGAACTGAGACTAAGCTAACACCAAAATGAGAAATGTATCTGTCTGTCTATCCATCCATATCAGCTAGCTAGGAGGCCTGTAGCTGCATTGTGTGTATTTGTGTATGACTTCAAGCTCCTGCCTGCATGGCGGCACTGCTGAGCTCTAGGAGGGGCATCTGAGGACAAGCTGCTGCAGCAGACACTCTCATTATACCGAAGCCTCTGCTGCATCACCCCTTTTCACTCCATCGACGCTATCCTCCCACTCCCTGCACCCCATCTCCCAGCTCCTTCCACTCTCACTTCCAGTCTATCCCCTCCCGCTTTGTGTGTCTTGTTCCTGGCGCTGAGTTGTTACGTCTTTTCCACATAGTACAAGACTTTGCCACCTTTACCCTTCACTATTTTAACAGAGTTAGCATTGTTAACACCATGATCCTTCCGACTGTCTGTCACAGACAGCTCCTGCTGACTAACATGAGTCAGAGTACAGAGATATTACCCACTGCTGGTGAGGCATTATTTTGGCCATTGCCAGCCCCTCTTCTTCCCTCTACATCACATTCATACACAATACAGAGCTCGATTTTGTATGGGCCTGTTACCAAGGTAACGGCTGGGAAATATTTAGTCCGAGTGACGAACAAGGGGGTTGATAAAATGAAGGAGAGAAGGAGTGAAGTAAAGAACAGAGGAAAGGGAATGGAGGTCAGAACAGAGGACAAGAGGGAAAGGTTGCAGGGATTAGGAAGGCAGAAAAGACGCAGTGACCTATCTGGATGTACTCCTCCCTGATCCTCCTATTTTCTTTTACCATCACTTCCTCTCTCCTGGAGTACACTTCATCATTGAATCTATTGCCACGCACTCTCCTACAGGAACACCCAGTCAGGACATTTTGTATTGTGCAACATTGAACTTTTTTTTTTTGCTCTACCAAGGGTAAACAGGGAGATCTGGCCAAGAACAGTTGGTGTTTGGCAATTCTAACCTGGGAATCACACGGTTAGTCATCACCATGCTACATAAAACGAAAGTATTAACCTAGTGAGCAACAGATGAACACAAAATTGCATCCTAAAAAGGCTCTGGAAGGTAAAGACAAACACCTAAACAAAAGAATCAAACAAGGCTGACGCCCATCAATGCAAACTTGGCAACCCCAGAAGAAACTCCTCCTGTCCTAAAATCTTGTTTCACTTCTCTTAACAGATGTCAAGCCTCATACAAGTGCCAATCTAAACGACACAAGGAAAGAAACATGTCTGGCATACATTTTATATTCACCTCTTCAAAGTATGCACTGATTATAAGCATAATCGCGATCAAGTGAGGTTACAATGCTCAAATGTTTTCTTCTTTTAAACTAAATGAGCTGCCTCTCCTTCAGAACAGGCAGGAGAATCAATGTGACATCTTTGATGTGTTGTTGATTTCACCGATTAAATCTACTTCAGTCATGAAAGGAAGGTGCAGCTTGAAGCATGAAGAGATGAAGAGGGGTTTTTTATGTCTTTTGCTAAATGAGACCACATTCGTACGCAGTAGAATCCAGCTCAGCGGTAGGCAGAAGTATTTCGCACTCTTAAATACAGATTTACACAATCATGGAAAAATCAGACATATGTTAGCTCCCTCCCTCCATTGTTGTCACTCAGCTTTCCCGTTTTGCTGTCAGTTTGTCACAGACTAGTCGTGGGTTTCACCTGAAAGCAGCTCAGTCAGCCCACGTTCGAGAGCAAAAGCTGCTGAGGCAGGCCCGACCAAGTGCTGTTTAAACACTAGCCTCGAGCTTATGTAAATGACTCGACGCACAGTGGGTAAGGTGGGTAAGGTGCTGTGTGTGGTGTGCACAGATGGGGTGAACGAGGCTGTGGGGCCAATACACTGGGAAGAGAGGAGAAAAAACTGAGGATGTTTATATCAAACATGGAGGTGAGATAGATGTGACTTCAGACAAATTCTCACACCTGTGTGCATTTAATCACAGTAAATGGCCACTTTGCTTTAAAAATGCTGTTTGTATGCTTGTGAACACTTACGCAACAGTCTTGTTTACAGCTCAGTTGATTAGGCAGAGACTACAGAAGTTAACCTGGGGTTGACAGCTTGCAGGTAGCAGCTTTCGTCTAATTTTCCCATAGGGAGCAATAATGCAGTCTCTCTTTTTCCACATCAGATCAGACATGGGATTCATCGAGAGCCCTCCTAGATTTACTCCCCACATGGGACACCACCAGTTTGATCATTTTACACAGGTTACACTGTGTCAAACTGACCTCTTCTGACAGAAATGCATTAAAATACTAATGTTTCACCATCTCCCTCTTTTTTGAGCTTTCATTTGGAAGTCTGTGATTTAGAAAAAGCCAGATTAACTTAATCACACCATTCAATATTGCCTCTATCTGTTGTAAATCCTGACCAAACAAGGGGGCTGCAGCAACACTGACAACATGTTGGATAACAGTCTAGACTGGCACGTAATGGTTAACTCACGGCTGATACAGAAACGGACCATGACACTATATTTTTAAATAACACAGTTACAGAATACAGGGAGAGGTGGACTCTTCCACTGTTTTTCCATTTTACAGGAAAAAAACCATAGTGATGACTTGACTGGGGAGTGTACATACAGATTCAAGATGGAAAATACACTGGACTTTAGTCAGAGCGGGTCACTGACATTACCTGGGTCAGATAACAGAGGACTGCGTCACTGCAGGGGAGGAGAGGGAGGGGGGGTTCCCTGTCTTGCAAACAATGTCCACAGCTATGTGCAGGACAGAGAAAATGACTGCCTGTCAGGCCGTCTGTGGACTAGAGGGAATTAAAATAGTTATAGGCTCTGTAGTCATTCAGTGTTTAGCGCACTCTTAGGTGCGTTGCATTTGATAAGTATCAGTCGAAAAGAGGAGCTGAAGCATGCAGCGTAGTAGCGGTGAAATAAAGGAAAAATATAAAGAAAACAAACATCTCTCCTACGACGTCAGTGCTGTGTTTGTATGGGTAAAAGCGCTGATCGAGGTTGTCTTCAAAGGCAGAGATTTAGTGATGGCAGAGGAGATACAGAGAGTTTTTCTTTCTGGGTACCAGTGGTATGACGGCAGGGGCAAACTTAGGCAGGCCTAAACTCAGGCACAGTGCCAGTTTTGGGGGGGAAGGCTTGGCCCACAGCCCCCCTTATCTAGCTCACGTGCCAGAAACACAGCAGAGCTCATCCTGACATCCTACCTGACGTCCAGCTCGTTGTCCCACTGTGAGTGAGTGTGTGTTTGCCTGCCTACATGTCGGCGTTAGAGAAGCAGAGATAGAATAGACCAGACATGACACAAACCAATCACTTGCTCAAATGATGTTATCACACTGTCTGGTTTGTATGTAGCCTGTGTTTTCTCTGGTAGAAAACATACCCCTGCCTGACGTTCTCTTACCCGACCCTACCTGTCCCCACCCTGTACCTCCTCTCACCTTGGTGCGTCCATTGATGACGCAGTCCCCCAGCTGTCCATTGGCAGCGCTGTACATGACGGCCTCATCGATGTGAGCCATCAGTGCCCCGATGCTCTCGCACCCGGGCTGTCCTCCCTCCACCCAGGCTATCTGGTCACCTCGGATGCTCCGAGAGGGGATGTTCTTCTGGCTCACCAGCTGCCCACCCCGAAATTTCCCGCTGCGGTTTAGGACCTCCACCTCATCCAGGACCCTGCTGCCCAGCTCAGGGCCCAGGAAGTTGTCCTTCAGACAGATGCCATAGTATTTCATGCAGGGGATGATGTACTGCTGGGCTATGTGCTCTGCCGACCAGCCTGCCCTTGCTGGAGGTGGTGGAGTCGGGATGCACTTAGCCTCGACGGGGGAGGTCTGGCTGGGTGCAGCTAGCGGTCCTGAGGAGGCCACTTTATGTCCGGTGTGCTGGTTAGTATGAGGGGTGAAGGGAGATTGGGGAGTGACACAGTGCACATGATTGACAGTCATTTGGTTGCTATGGGAACTGTTGCTGCAGTTGGCGAGTGGGGCGACCACTCGGGCCACTCTGGAGGCCTCTGAAGATTTGTGAGCAACACTTTCATCTGCCAACCGTCTCCGCTTACAGTCCAAGTCCCCAGAAGCAAAAGCCGAGTCCACAGAACTTCCTGACCCGGGTGACTCCATTGTGAGGCCATGAGGAGCTCCTGACCCCATGTCCCGATTCTCCCCACCTCTGCGTTTCTGTTGCACCTGCCTGGCTTTCAGGTCACCATTGATTCTCCTCATCAGTGAAGGACACTTCTCATGAGCTGCCCGGTCCCCGTTCTCCATCAGAGAGGCTCTGCTAGTGAGAGGGTACATGGGGTCGCCTGTCACCCCCACCGCCCCTTTTATCTGTGCCGGGTAACCGTTTGGTGTGTGAGCCAAAACGCCTGCGTGGCTCCCCTCCACGGTGGCAGATGGAGACACCACCCCACCGTTGTAGAGCGGCACGCCGGTTTTAGACAGCTTCGTCGGGGTTGTGATTGCAGGGGAGTCGGTCTGAGAGGCCAGACCCGCGAGTAACTCCGCGGCCGTCGGACTCCCGACCGGTGCCGCGCATACGCCGTTAAGCCCCATGTCCGCTCGGTACGTGTGATGAATCTCTGCCGCTCCAAAGACGCTCTGCTGCGTGGTTGAAACAGCTACGGATCCGAGGGAAGAGCTTGGGTTTAAAGGGTCCGTGTGTCCCAAGCTCTCCATTTCATCTCGTCATCTGCTGGATGCGCACGTAGCTCACGTCCTCGCTTCATTTTCTCGCTGAGCCGCTGCTTTCTCTCATATAGAGGATCTTTGCCACTGCCACTAGAAGTTTCATGTCCAAGTCCTCTTTTACTCGCTCTTATTTTTTACCAAATACTCTCATACAACACTCTCAAGCTGTGTATTTGTTTGTATCCGTCTTATAAACATTTTGTTGCGGGATATCTGTGGAGAGTAAAATGATACACTTTAGGCCTATTAATAGCACAGTGCAGATCACTTGTCACAAGTAAATAAATCTAGTCCACAGTATTAAAACGGTGCATCAGGTCTATTTATAAAGGTCTACTTATAATATTTAAAATAAGGCAAGGAAAAAAGTGCATGTATTTACTGCAGCTTACATTTAATCATATTTAATACTGGAATAAAACTCACTTTTACCAACAATAATTTACATTAAAATAAGACTGAAATAGAAACTAAATATAAAATGTCTGCTATAAATGCAGCCTTTTATCATTATAACTCATATGGCTACTGTGAAACATCCATTAAATGACTTTATTTCGTCTTCACCAGCTATCGATTTCCAACTTAGTAGCCTTATAATAATGTCGCCCTTTATAAAAAAATGAACCTAACATATTTCAGGGTGTAAACTGCATTTAATGTTTGGCTGCAATGTCAAAAACACACGTATATTTCAACTACAAGGCTCCCCCAATGCTTACCTACGGCAGCCTACAGCAATGCAAATCCTCAGCGAGCGTACGTGACAGGCTGAGAGTACGCATGTTATTTCCGGGATTGTCTTGCCCGTGTGTGCGTCCCATCCAATTTTCTTGTCGGTTATAAATAAAATCCAGGCAGCAGACGGCGACCGTCGCCGGTCTGACACATTCAACTCAACCGAGGGACGGAGGGTGATCCCCGGGGCCAAACGAGGTCCCCTCTGTCACCCAAAAAAAGTGATTTCTGTTGTGTCGATGAACATCCCCCACTTTTTGCCTGTCTCCTCCACCCCCCGCTCCTCCTCCTCCTCCTCCTACAGCCCGCTTTCTCTTTCCACTCCCTCCTGTCATTTACGTGCTTGCAGACCATGTGACCACTTGCTACTACGGCCGACCTTCAGCTGCACTGACACAAACCGTCCCACAACAATACTGATTTTTGTCTTTTTAAAGATTGCGACATTATTGATTATACAGTTGAACCATCATGTTATTTCTACCAGGGTTTCTATTTTAAACATGAATAGAAAATTAAGTCACATTAGGACTCCACTCCCAACTGCTTTAAATGCATAAAGTGTGAGCTTTTTGTCAGTGGTAAAAGATGCGGATTAGGACAACTACCCTCACACTGCGATGTGCTGCTCGGGCGGTGCTTAACATGGGCGGAGTTAAATGTTTGACCCCGTCCGCGTACATGCGGCAGACCCTGCTCCGTATAGAAGCATCCCCCTGCAGAGCAGGAGAGCGGCCACCGTTTTAGACGTGCGCATGCGCCAGTTTCAGAGCCACCATTTTAGACATGCAAATATGCGAGTACCAGGCTCTGACGGACACAGATTGGTAAATACATAGATTTGATCATTGTTGTAAAAATAACATTAGCCTTGTATTCACAAACGTTTGACTAAAGAAAAGATAGAAAACTTTTCTACTACCTAGCACACTAGCTCGCTAGCTAACGCTATCTGCTTATCCTTTATCATGGATCAATAAAGAATATAGCAACTTTCACCACAGTTCATTTTAGGACGACCACTTCAAGAAAACATGGTCTTTGTTTAGATTATTATTTTGAAGTCGAAATAGACAACTTTAAAGCTAACTTAGTTAATGTGCCAGCTGCGCTAGTGTGCTAGCTGTTCTAGCTAATTGCTGGCAGCCAGAAATAAACAACTATGATGTTTGTTAACTGTACTATAAACAAAGAACACATTTTCTCACAGTGGTCCTTCCAAAATAAGCAGTGGTTGAAGTTACTGTATTCCATTATTATCAGGGTGTACCTAGCGCGAGTTGGAATGTTGACTACTTCCACTACTGTGAAGTGACTGGCTAAATGGCTGACAGGGGATTGTGAGCCTCTAATTAGCCACATTAAAGAGTGATTGACAGACAATCTGCCCACTCGAGCTCGCATATACGCACATCTAAACAATGGCTCTGAAACTCGCACATGCGCATGTCTAAAATGGTGGCTGTCTCCGGCTCTGCAGGGGGACGATATTGGCGCCGTAGCCTACCTAATATTTTTAGCACAAGCCTCTTGCATTTTACATTGTATAAATTAGCCTAGTGGCTAGCAGACATTTTTCTCTACTCAAATGAAGCCAAGGACAACGGCAACATTTATCAAAGGTACCGTTACAAAATTCAGCTCCATTACAACTCACAAGGTTCACCAACAAAACAACTGTCTTATACTAAAAACATTTTCCAAACAAACGTGACATGCTAACATTAGCACAAGCCTATGGCATTTTATATTGTATAAATTAGCCTAGCGAAGATGCGGCTTTCCTCTGCTCATATAAAGCCAGGAAAAATCACACACAAGACTTAATGCTATTTTTGTGGAGACTTTATTGTCTTCACAATTTATTGTTTCTTATCTGTGAAATTAAAGAAAATAAGCCAACAAGCGAAATGGTTTTAGCTCACAAAAATAGACAGGGGGCCTGCGTTGCCTGCGACATGTAGTTACACATCTGGGGAGGTGCACATCAGGCTACGATGTAGGCTATGTCGCAGAGCCCACACCATAGGTACAATGTGGTTTCGACGCAGAAGTATAAATCCTGCATTACTCAATGGCACCACCTGAAAGTGGGCGTCATTCCTAATGACGTAGAAATTTGGGAACGCTGCAGCCTCAAAAACATTGCACCCATATATTTTTAATATAATCATAGGAAACAAGGAACAGCATGAATGGCAGTTGTAAAATACAATATTGTATAAATTTGGACAATCAGCTTTTTCCATTTGTTTCCATTTGAAATCAAAGTGATTACAGATGTATAATTTACAACAAAGGTCAAGTGCTGGCTAAAAGCAAACCAGAGTATGTGTGTAACAGGGTCAATTATACAGCAGTAATATGTGTGACAAAGTCAAATTTACCTTTGTAAGTATTATAATTACACAAAACTGTGGAGCTTTTGATACTCAGTTTCTGTATCTCTATATTCACCTTTAGGGGTACCCCACCTATAAAGGGGTGTCTCCACCTTGCCTCCTCTTTTGCTGCTGTACTCCATGGGAAAGGTAAGTGACATTGTTATCATAGTAATTTCCATGTTTTAGCGCTGTTAAGCTTTGTTTTTAAATTCATATTATGCTAACATAATCCTGTGTCACTTAATTTATGTAGAGGCTCAAGTTCACATGGTTGTATTTGACAGAGGATTTTGTTTTCACCTCTTGTTGTCAGCTGTCAGAAATAAACAGATCGCCTCGAAAGATATCCACGGTGTTATAAAAATTATGATCACGCTGTGTATGTACGCTGTGTACCGGTCAGTAGAATACTGTTTCTGTTTTGTACGTAAACACCACAACGTTAGCAGATTCATCAGCTCTGTATCTGTAAGGGAGGACAGGGAGGCTTGGATCGGAGACAAGTCAAGGACAGGCCATTTTGGATGGCCAGACAGACAGGGTATTGTTCCAACAGAGGGACCGAAGATGATTGTGACGTTATCTACAAGTGTGTACTTGATAGAAACATCCGAGCTTCCCCGCCCACCTGTGCTGTATAATACCTGATAGCAAACGCTCCTCCGGGGAGCCTTTTTCTCTGTAATCTCACCTTGTGTGTTGCACTGTGAAACACTCCTTCTTGTACAAGAAAATAAAACTTTGTTAAACTTTGATACTTCGGCTCCGATCTCTGTTGCTTTAAAAGTCATTACGAAGAAATTTTTTTTGACACACGGTCTGGGCTTCTTCATATCAACACAACGCAGACAACACTAGAGTCCACTGGTTCCATGTGTACTTTAGTGTATTTATTGTGGTATGGGTATAGTGGTATGTCTATTGTAGCAGATGTATTGTTGGATATGTTGTGATGTATGTATTGTGGTATATGTGCTGTGGTATGTCTATTGTAGTATGTGGATTATGGTTTATGTATTTTATTGTGCCTTCCATGTTTATAGTGTATTGTGGTTGTATCATGTTTTAAACTGTATATTTTTTGTAACATTTTAGGTCTGCATGTAAAAGCCCAACTAGAGACAGAAGTTGAAAATTAGCAAAAGCTATAAACTCTCTGTGCAACACATCAGTCCCATACTCAATATTATTATTATTATTATTATTATATTATATATTGTATTTTTGTATGTAAAATCTTAAACTGTAAAGTAACAAGTTTTTAAAGATATCAAATCAATGCAATGAATCAAAAAGTACAAATTTCCCTGTGAAATGTAATGGAGTAGAGGTATGAAGTATCTTTCTAGTAGTATCCATCAATCCATCCATTTTCATCCACTTATCCTGGTCCAGGTCGCAATAGCAACAGGATGAGCAATGCTTTCCAGCTCCTCCTTGGGGATTCTGAGATGTTCCCAGATAAGATATATAATCCCTCCAGTGTATTCTGGGTCTGCCCTTGGGCCTCCTACCAGTTGGAACTCCCCAGAAAACCTCTAACTGGAAGTACCCAAGATGCATCCATATCAGATGCCCTAATCACCTCAACTGACCCCTTTTGACGTGAAGGCACAGTGGCTCTAGTCCCTCTGGATGTCTGAGCTCCTCACCCTATCTCCAAGGCTGCGCCCAGCCTCCTACCCTAAGCAGGAAACTTATTTTGGCCACTTGTATCCACAACCTTATTCTTTTGGTCACGACCTAAGGCTCATGAATATAGGGTAGGGTTGGGATGTAGATGGACCAGTAAATCAAAAGCTTTGCCTTCCTGCTCAGCTCCCTCTTCACCACAACGGTCCAGCACAGTGCCCACATCAATGCTGACGCCACGCCTAACTGCCTATCCATCTCACACTCTATTTTAACCTTATTTATGAACAAGACCCTAAGATCAGAGTTGGGTAAGGGTTACTTTAAAAGTAATCAAATTACTTTACTGTGTTACTTTTTTGAAAAGTAACCAGTTACTTCACTGCATTACTCCCTGAGAAAAGTAACTCAAGTACTTTTAAAGTACCTTTGAGTATTCTACATTTCCTATTGGGCAATGTACCACAGGGCGCTTATCCTACATTTTGTGTCTCCAAAATTAAAGTTATGGACCACTTGCCCTTCACTGAGATCCAATTCTCCCATCACAGCCGTCACTTTCACCAATAGAAACACAGAATTAGCTGCAGCCATAGACAACTGTAGGACAACAACACCCCAGCCTTTTTAATATTTCCTCTAGGGATGTTACCACACAGAGTAAAAGGGGAAAATGATGGTGTGAAACAGCAGAGGCACTTTCAGTGGCGTGCACAGACTTTTTGAAGGGCAGGGGCGAAAAGAAAAAAAAGAGCACATACAGCACGTTCTCGCCACTGAAGAGGGCACTAAGTTCCACGTGTTTTTGAGGGCACTTTAGACATGTTTATATGTTATACAAATGGCACATTATATAGCCTTAAAACAGACTAACTAGACAGACTACTCAAGTTAGTTTGTAGTTAGGATCAGCATCCACGAGAACTGTGTAGATTCAACGTTGGACTGTGAAGAACACACAGAGACATGGATGTATGAAGGAAATAAATCCCTGGGGGGGTCTGGGGGTCCTCCCACAGAACATTTTCAATTCAGTAGATGCCATTTCCTGTATTCTAGTGCATTTTAACACCATATTAGCACCAGATAATCCAAACTGGTTCTGTGAGATATAGTTCTGGCTCAATATAGATCAAAAAAGGGCCCAACATAAAAGTCATTGCAACAGTAATGTTTCACAGTATTTCTTGGTCCTAATAGTCTTCTGGAGTTTAGTGTGTTTTCTTCACCCAAGAAGGCAGTTTAGTGTGTTTTGCCAACCAGGAGGGCACTTTAGCGTGTGTTTTGC